ATCTTGCCATGTGAACATGGATGAACCTCAAGGTCATTATGCTAAAGTGAAATAAGAATAAAACAAAAACCATATGATCTCTATTATATGTGGGAACCTAAAAATAAATATCGTTATTTTTTATAAACTAATTTCGTAGATACAGAGAACAGATTGGTGGTTGCAAGAGGTTGAGAGTAGGGTTGGGGAGAAATGGATGAAGTGATTTTTAGTTTAAATATATTGAATTTAAAAGAAATAGATATAGCTTAAATTCCCCAAATAAAAGGGAAAGATGGTCAGACTGAATAAAAAGCAACACTCAAACATATGCTGACTATAAAAAATTCACTTAAATTATAAACACAGAAATAAGGGATGAACAAAAAGAAAGCTGGTGTGGCTAAATTATAATCAGGCAAAGTAAATGACAGAACAAAGAATATTATGAGCAATAAAGAAAGATGGTCATTCCATAATGATAAAAAGGTCAGTTTATCACACATACAAAATAATCCTAAACCTTCACACATCTAATAATAGAGCTTCAAAATACTGATAAACCAAAAACGAATAAAACAGCAAGGAGAAATAGACATTTATAAAATTATGGTTGAATTTCAGTACCCCTCTCTCAATAATTGATGTAACAATTAGAACTTCTGTCAATGAAGGACTCACAAGGGAATTTAGACCGTATTTTGGAATGAAGGTAAATAAAAACTTAAGAGACCAAAATGTGTAGGATGCCACTAAAGTAGCTAAAGCAATATATAGGGGAACTTCTATAGTACTAAACTTTATTAGAAAATATGAAAGGTCTCAAAGCAATGATATGAACTAAAATTAAAAAATCAGAGTGGAATTCAGTGAAATAGAAAACTTTTAGAAAAACCAGTAAAGAGAATTGATGAAAGCAAAAGCTAGTTCTTTGAGTAGTTCAATAAAATTGATAAACTTCTATCCATATTGATCAGGAAATAGAGAAGGGACATCATTACAGATTGTACCAATATTAAAAAGACAATTAGTAAGCATTATGAACAGCTTTATGGTAGTAAATTTCACAACTTAAATGAAATGGACAAATTCCTTGGATGACACGTACTACCAAAGCTCACTTGTGAAGAAATAAGTAATTTGAATGGCCCAAGATGTATTAAAGAAATTAAAATTGACAGTTAAAAACCGCAAAGAAAATTCCAGACCCAGAAGGCTTCATTGGTAAAATTTACCAAATAGTTAAAAGGAAGAAATATCAGTTAAACACAAAGCCTTCCGTAAAACTGAAATGGATTGACTGTGTCCGAGCTCATTCTGTGAGGCCATTACTCTGATGCCAATATCAGAGACATTATAGAATTAAAAAATTGTATGCCATATCCTTCATAAGCCCAGATGCAAATGTTATGTACAAAATTTATGCATATTGAATCCAGCAGTATTTCATAAGCATGGTTAAATTTGTTTTATTCCAGGAATGCAAGATCGGTTTAATATTTTTAAAAAATCTTTTCACCATAGTTAACACATTTAAAAAGAAAAGATGATTTCAGTAAATAGAGAAAAAAGCATTTAACAAAAAGTCAAACATTCTATCCTGAGAAAAACTCTCAGAACAGAATTTCCTCAACCTGATAAAAGGTATCTGAAAAACCTGCAGCTAACATCATACTTAATAGTAAAAGGATAATGCTCTTCCCACAAGAATTAGAACAAAAACAAGGTAAGGATAGCTATTCTCACCACTTTAATGCAGTGTTCTCTAGAGGTTCTAACCAGTGCAATAAAGCAAGAAAAAAATGAATAATGGGCATCCAGATTGGAAAGGAAGAAGCAAAATTTTTTATTCACTTTTTATTCACAATAGATTACATTGATCATCTATTAGACTATTCCATGGAATCTATAGAGAAATTACTTGAACTAATGAGTTTAGGAAGGTTTCAAAGTATAAGAATAATAAACAAAAATCAATTGATTTATATATACTAGTCACAACCAATTAGAAATTAGAAATAGTACCTTTTATAATAGCAACAGAAAACATTTAACATATGAACATATTTATATGAAACACATATTTCATAAAATCTGGCCAAAGATGTGGAAGAACCTGTGTATTGAAAACTATACATTACTGAGAGAAAGACCTAAATAAGTGGAGAGATATACCATATGTACAGATGGAGAAAGTCATTATTGTCAATATGTCAATTTCCCCCAAATTGATCTAACAGATTCAGTATAATCCTGATCAGAATCCTAGCAGGTTTCTTTGTAGAAGCTGAAAAACTTACAAAGGAAACAGAATAGCTAAAATAAACTTTTAAAAAGGACATTGTTGGAGAGTACCACTACCCAATTTTAAAATTTATTTTAAAGCTATGGTAATTTAAGACACTTTGGTATTGGTATCAAGAGTTATCAATGAAATATAATAGAGAGTTCACAAATAGGGCCAAACTTATGGAATACTGGTGTTCAACAAAGGTGGAAAGGATAGGCTTTTCAGCAAATGGTTTTAGAACAGATATCATAAACAAAAGAGAAAACTTAAGTCCATTCCTCATGTGTCATGTACAAAAATGAACTCAAAATGGATCTTAGACATCAATGAAAAAAACAATAGCTATAAAACTATTAGAAGAAAATTTTTATGACATTGGGTTAGGAAAAGATTTCTTAGATACAATACCAAAAGCAGTCCATGAAAGAATAAGTCGATAAATTGGCCTTTGTCAAATTTTAAACTTCTGCTCTTCAAAAGACACCTTTTAGAGATTGAAAGGACTAGCCACAATCTGAAAACATTTTCAAGTCATATCTAATAAATTGTGTCCAGAATAAAGATCTCTCAAAACTCAATAGCAAAACAGCTAAACATTTAAAGCAACCCAGTTATCTTCATATGAGCAAAAGATTTGAACAAATACTTCACCACAGAAGATATATATCTAGCAAATAAGTACAATTGACCCTTGAACAATGTGGGGGTTATGGGCACCTACCCCCACACATTTGAAATTTCCCCCAAAACTTTTGACTACCTAAAACTTTACTAATAGCCTACAATTAATCAAAAGCCTTACCAATAACATAGTCGATTAACACTTACTTTGCATGCTATCTTTATTATATGCTGTATTCTTAGAATAAATAAAGCTAGAAAAATCTTTTCCACATTGTTCCAAATCTCCAAAAAATGTTCCAATATATTCATTGAAAAACATCCACATATAAGTGAGCCCATGGCAGTTCAAACCCATGTTGTTCAAGGGTCTGTACATGTAAAGAAAATAGACATCACTACTCATTAGGAAAATGCAAGTTAAAACAACAGTATACCACTACATACTTGTTACAGTAACTAAAATGAAAAAGGCTACCCATACCAAGTGTTGATGGGGATTTGGAGAGACTGGAATTCTCATACACTCCTAGTGCAGATGTAAAACTGTTAAACCACTTTTGAAAACAGCTTTGGAGTTTCTTTAAAAGGTAAACATGCACATACTATATGATCCAGCCACCCTTTCCTAAAGTTTACCCAAGATAATGAAAGTATGTCCATTCAAAGACAAACAGGAATGTCATAACAGCATTATTTCTAGTAGCCAAAAATTAGAAACAATCCAGATAGTCATAAACAGGTATGTGTAAACAAGCTGTGGTATATCCTTGATTGACAGTAGGATATTCAGCAAGTAAAAAGGAGTAAACTGTCAATATATGCAAAAAAATAGAGGATGAATCACAAAATACATCTGCTGTGTGAAAGAAGCCAGGCAAAATAAGAGTACATTATTCTGTCTTATTCCATTTATTTAAAATTCTAGGAAATACAAACTAATCTCTAGTGATAGAAATCACATCAAAGATTGCCTAGTGGCTGGGGAAAAGCAGGTGGAGTATGAGGAAGGGATTATAAAGATACACTTTTGGGGGTGTATTCATTAATTTAATTATGGCAACAGTTTTTGAATGTGTAAATGTCAAAACTTAATAGTGTGTACACTTTAAATATGTTTATGCGCCAGTGATACTTCAGTTTGTACATCAGTTACATTTCAGTAAAGTTCTTTAAAAAGTAGGGTAGGAGGAGAAAAACAATGTTTTTCTGTGTAATAGAACTTTGTGAATCATTTTCCCTAATAGATAGTCCAAGTGATTATGTGACCAGCTTGTCTACCTACTAACAAGAATGAGGGACTAAGGTATTAGCCCCTATCTTTGTTAATTAATAACTACTGTATGAAAAGGGTAACTAATTTTTATCTAATTTTAAAATTTTCTTATTCTGGATCATGTCCATAGAGTTTAATATGCAGCAAATTATACAATGCCATTTATTCCTTTAGTTGTAGTGCTTCCCATGGTCATTTGACTAAGTTAGTTAAATTTAATATGTAATTTGTTTTAAACCAGGATTAACTTTTTAATAGAGTAAGCATAACATTACAATTACTTTTAAAACATTAATTTTAACCATCCTAAAAGACATTTTTCATGACTTTAAATGGTTTTCTGCTTTTACAGACTTAGAATGCTTCTTTAATTATCCTCTTTGACTTCTTTGATGCATCTTTATGTCATGGTATTTCTTGTTTCAAGTTGTTTTTATATTAGCCTATTTTCAGTAACTGTAAATACTGAAGTGAATGTAAATATGACTCAATTTAGAAATAAATCATTCCTATAAACTCTTACCCAAACTAATTTCAGATAAGGTTTTATTATTTAAAAATATATGCTTTAAATAAATATTTCTAATTTCAAATTGTTAGGGAGAAATACAATTTTTAATGATGACTAAAAATTCTCTGGGCTTAGTACTCTGATATTTTTGTGAGTAAAAGTTTTGAATAAGTCTGTGCTAGCAGAATAATTAGAAGGGAAAGGTACAAAATTAAAGCTTATATTATATAGAATTGCTGTGAAATAGTTTGATGTAAAATCCATATAATAGGGTAGAAGTAATCTTGAAATTCTTAATATGCCTTGTTTTTCCCTTTCTGCAGAGTGTATATAAATGTGACTTCCTGAACTTGCAGCTTCAGCAACCACTCCAGCTTGCACAGGATGCTATAGATGCCTTTTTGAAGCAGCTGAAAAACCCTATTGATTCTCTTCCTGGAGAACTTTTCCATGTGGTTGTTTTCTCTCTCCTTCTTTCTTATTTTCCATCACCTTACCAGCGATGGATTTGCTGCAAGAAAGCCCATGAACTGTTAGTGTTAAATGGTTTATTGCTTATCATCACACCTGATTCCTCCCATCAGAACCGTCATGCTATGATGATGAAAAGCTGGAAGATTGCTATAGAGTCCCTGGGCTTTAAACGTTTCAAGTATTCAAAATTTTCACATATGCATCTGATGGCATTTAGAAAAATCTCCCTAAAAACCACAAGTGACTTGGTTAGTAGGAACTACCCAGGGATGTTATATATCCCTCAAGATTTCAACAGTATAGAAGATGAGGAATATTCTAACCCTTCCTGCTATGTTCGATCAGATACAGAAGATGAACAACTAGCATATGGTTTCACAGAGCTCCCTGATGCTCCATATGACTCAGATTCTGGAGAAAGTCAAGCCAGCTCTATTCCTTTTTATGAGCTAGAAGATCCCATATTACTTTTAAGTTAATATGAAAGCAAAAGGCTCTTTCAGTCCAGATTCCTAAACTAATTGCTTACACTAATCAGAAATACTAACATGAACTCAGTACTTAAAACCTGGTTTGCATAGAAGAAATGCAAAGGTTTACAGAGTTTGTTATTTTTTTCTACTTCTGGATTTTAAAATTTATTCTTATATAGAAAGCTTAAAGTTTCATGCAGAGTGACTCCTGTCATAGAAACCTCTGTTACTTTAGTATTTAGCACTAAGATATCATAGAAAGGTACCTTTTTCCTCTTTTGTGCTCTTGTGAAACATAAAGCATAATTTGATATGTATTTCCCTTTTTTCAACTTCAGTGTTTAAACCATTGAAATGAGAAAGATATGTAGGAAGCCGTAGATTGCACTTTTGATGACTCATAAATTAAATGAGACACAGATAGATTGGTTTAGTTGTTTTGTGGTGCACTTAGTTTAATTCTTTTTTCTAACTACATTACCTGTTAACAGAAAGCCATTTTCTGTTGTGTTGTCTGATGATCCATTTCCTGAACTTTTTTGGAATCGATAATTCTTTTTTCACTCATTTGACAGCATCAGACATTGGGGGAGAGGTTCCCTCAAAGTATGTATTCCAGTTTCATTAGTACAGTAAACACCATTGCCAAAGTAGAATTTTCATATCTTGTTGATTTGGGCCTTGGTGTTAAGTATATTTAACTGTGAGAGTTCATTTTTATCTTTTTTAAATTTAGGGGTCATTTACAAAATTTTCTATTTAAGCAAGGGACAATATAATAATACTGACCTTAAAGACCTTTACGAAGGGTTTGCACTTGTGAGAGAGTTTATGTTCTGTCTAGGCCAACCTTGATCAGGTCCTCACCTTTTTGTTAAGGAGGTGCTGCACTGCAAGTCTGGAATTACATAGTAAAATTTTAAATTACCTCTGCTGGTAATCTCATAAAATGGTTTTGACCTTTCAGTATTCTAATTTCTAAATACTAGCAGAAATTTTTCTTTGAATATATAAACCATTAGTTAACTGTGGGAATTTTCCCTTTCCACATTGATAAATGCCTTCCTGTGTTTCTGAATCAGAAGCAAATGATTAGGGAGAAAAATAAGTCCAAACAAGACAAGGTTAGTTTAAATAGCTAAGAACATTTAGTCCACATTGTCTTGTCAGCCAGCAATTGTCATGTAAACTATCATTTTTAAGAGTGCCACTGTGTGGATTTTTTTTTTCAAGTGGTTATTACATTAAAATTACCTCATACTGAGGTTTTTGCACTGAAATATCACAGTTTCAGATTTCATGGTTAATGTTGTATGTATGTATGTTTTTAAAAAAAACTTTTTTCAGTAGTTGATCCTAAATTTCATAAACTGCACTTCTTTACTCCGGTAAAACTGATGTTTTTGTGCTTATTGTGAATTGCTGTAGTTAACTTTGAATGTCAAACTTTATTTAGAAATACAAAATTTACCCTTTAAGATGTAAGTGGTTGGGTATGTGTACCCTATAGTTCAAATTTAATTTCACATATAAGTAATAAGATTGTAATTAATCTAAAAAAGTCAATTGACTAAATGCAATTAATATTAGTTGCTCAAATATGCCAGGAGTAACATAAAATTTTTCATTTACTTTCAACAGCATAAGCTTCCTTAATAATTAGGATTGACTTTTTTTCCAGCTAAGCACTACAGGTCATATCTTGTAGCACTCCCAAAAGAAGAAGAAAACAGGACAACACAAAACTTTGTTTTGATAGTAACTCTTTTACCACATCATACTGCCCATTTTCTTTCATTTGGCAAAACACTCTCTTAAGGGCAAAGAAACAATATACCTAATGAAAGTGCTTTGAAAGTAAATGAAAACAGTGGTTTTGAGAGGTTTGTGTTAAGTATGACATTGGAGTCAGCCTTTGTGTCATAGCTGAAATGTTGGTGCTATAAATTCTGATTGTTTACAGATGTTGATTCTGCTTATGCTCCAAAGTATGCACGATGTATTTTAAGTAGTACTTTAAAGAAGTCTCTTTATAAAACCTAATCCCACTTAGTAGAAATTTGTTTGGATTTATAAATATCATTTGTTTCTGTAAATTCAGCTTATTCAAATTAGGTTGGCACAGGATTTAAACTCATACATATTCCACCAAAGCCAATTCGATGTATAAGTGTTAAAATATCAGCAGTCGTGTGGCTTGGTGCCAGATGATAGATTGAATGACGAGAAGTTAATAGAGCCTAATTCTGTATGGGCACTCTTGAGAATGATTTCATTTGGTTGTAAAGAAGGGGCCTCCTGTCATATTAACAACAGGATTCTCCAAAATAATTTGGTGTTTCAAAAACAATTGATCGTTTGGTTAGATTCTTCAGGATCATGACTAGATCAAAAGTGGTTGATATCATAGTTGCCAAGTAGTAGGAGGTGGCATACCTGAAAATGTTTGTGTTTGTTGTATTTTTTCACATTTTGTGAACAAAGCACATTTATTAAAAATTTTAAATTTTCTAATATGCACTGTGTGTTACTTGTAAACTGAAAGTTTTGTGATCTCTGACCTGTCTTAACTGATTGATTTCAGAATTGGGAGGCAATTTAGAATTTGAATGATAGAATTTTCTAGCTGTGTTCATCTAGTCAAATCCCTTAATTTCATATCATTGAAGAGATCCAGAGAGCTCGTTACTTCCCCATTGTCTTGATTATCATGCTGTTTATCAAAGAACCACGACAACAGCCAGCATTAACTAGTTCATTTATGTCTACTTTCCTTGAAAGTTAACTACATCAGAGATAATTTAGTTACATTTATCAGTTATTTTAGGGCAGCAGATGGCTTTCTCATGATGTGGAAGTTCTTTATTCATTGAATGAATGAACTCTACCATGTGCAGCATACTGGGGAAACAGCAGGGATTGGGGTGGTCATAACCTCTGCTCTCATGGAGCTTATGATATAATAGAGAAGGACAAGCTTGGAGCTAATATCTCTATCTAGGAATGTTTGCCTACCAATCCTATACTTGTGCCCCCACTCAGGTCCCTTAATTTGTTTCCCAGAAATGGGACAGGAGGCAAAAAATGTTTTAAACACAACAATCTGTTCAGCAAATTGTAAACACATTGTGAAAAGGGGTGTATTGTTACCCTCTAGAAAAGTGCAAGCTAAAAACCAATTCTCTGACTGTAAAAGGCAGGGGGAAAACATAATTAGGAGTTTTTGCAACATTTTCCCACACTTTTCTGAGCACAGTGCTGCAGTGGTATTCCTCTTTAAGAGCCCACACATTAAGGTAAGCAGAACATTGAAGATTTGCTTCCTCCTTGGTGTTGCAAATTGTTAGATGACAGCAAAGGTGTAAAAGAAGTTCTAAATTACTATTCCAAAAAGCATACTGCAAATGTCAGTTACAAAGAATGTCTGTGTTAGAAAAATTTGATTCTTTCCAAAACACGGAATTGAAATAAACTCCATGATAGTTCACAATAAAAATTTCATTTCCAAAATCCACTGCAGATACAAAGTTCCCCAGGATTATTGATGGTGGCCTCTGTTACATAAACTCCTATAACACATCTGTTTGAATAAGAGTTTGCAGAGGGCATTTACAAAATAATGTAGGAAAGAGCAAAAAACAGTCATAGTACAGTTATGCAAGATGGGGGGGGAGACTGGGCAAAGCATGAACCTTGTGTCTCAGTGTTACTTCTTACAACTGCATGTGAATCTGTAATTATCTCAAAATACAGCGTATCAGGGAACCAAAAAAAAAAGTCATAGTGTCCAAACTGTCACAGGTCTTTTCACTAGGAATCCAAGAGATTCCAAAGCCAAGCATGAATCAACATTCTCTGAAAATAAGGTAGCTGGGTGATTGCAAGAAAGAAGAGAGGTAGGCAGGCCAAATTCCTGGAGCCTGCCTGCAATGTTTAGAAACAGACCCAGGACAGCAAGAGAAACTGAAGGCTTAACTATAAACAACTTTGTGCTTTCCAACACACTGAATCATTAGCACAGATTAAAGTACCTGTCAGAAGGTTACTGTGGAAATAGTAAGAACCTGGTAATTTGAAAGTAAGAAAGTAGCATTTTGATAGGAAAGGTGATATTCTAGAGCTTTTGTAACTAAAAGTAGTTCAAGATAGGGGAACCCTAGTGACCTGGAAAATTTCCTATTGGGGAGCTACAGAATGGGAGTTAGGATGTCACAGACCATCTCTTTAGTCTTGCTTGGGGCTGTATGTATATTAAAACTGCTATTACCTATTTTATACTTCCAAAAGTTCAAACAACCCTTTATAATGTTTTCCTCCCTAGAATTTCTCAAATGTAAAGAAGTAACATTTTAACATAATTGGTGTAGAGATAGTATTACAGACAAACCTAAGTGCATAGTAACACTTCTGTAGATATATTTCACTTCCCAAAGGATGTGAAGCATGAAATTCAGAAGAGAGCAAGTACAGATCTTGTGACAGCTCATTTTAGATTGTATTTAGTATTTCTTTGGAAATACACTTAAGGTTGTTTTTGAGTAATAAAGTGTTTTCACTAATCCACTAGGCATTGTGGTTCCCTTTTATAACTGAGGGTTATTTGTCAGATAGCTCAAGTAAGGGATACAATTTCTGGCAACAAAACAAAGTAATTTGACACCAATCAATATTGATTCATTAGTTGAGGCTTAATTTCTGCAGTTACATTGGATGAGATACTATGAGGACTAATAGATGTCTGCTGTGCCCTTCAGGGTTGACAATGTAACTACCTATTAAGTATGAAGGAGGTGGCATATAAAATGTATGGAAATGTATAGGATATGTATTTAGGGATATATAGGAAATATGTAAATATAAAGGATGACACTTAATATGAACTAGGAGAATCCCGATTTTATTCAAGAGTAGAGATTGGTGATACTACATCATAGAATGGAAAGAAAACTCTTGAAAAAATTTTGTTACTAAAGTACTGTCTCTAGCACTACATGAGCACACCAGCTGCTGCTCCATCACATTCCAAGTCATGGACGTGACCTCATCCATGCAGAGTGCTTGTCTGGAAGTTATGGCACTGCAGAGGCCTTGCACACAAAACAGACTGGAGACTCATTCCCTTTAAACATAGCCTAGGAAATTACAACAAGAACAACAGAAAAGACACACTTTTGAAAGTACCATTCAGTTCTACATAAAGTTCTTTCAATAGTCATAACAAGTATCATTTACTAAGTGACTTATGTTATCAGGTATTATGCCAAGTAAGAACTCTAAAAACATTGCCTCACTTTCATCCTTTCAACAAGTCTACAAAGTACTATTATCACTATTGTACTAGTGAGGAAAATGTGTCATTGAAATGTTAAGCAGTCATCTATAGTTACAGAGTTAGAAGAGTGGCTCAGCCAGAATGTAACTTTGGTGTGACTTCAAAGCTTATGTTCATTAACCACGTTGCATGAGTTGCTAATAACGTGGCTGTCTGAATGAGTATATATTTTTGAAACAAGTTTCATAAACACTGGACACTATATATGGTGCTGTGAGAATGCAAAGTTGAATAAGATAGGCATGTAACTGTTCGCATTGTGCTGTGCAAGGCATTTTTTTTACATACTGAGTTCTGATACCAAATCAGATTATGCTTTTAGAAAGCTTCCAGTCTAATAAGAAAGACAAATTACATACATGGAAATTATAATACAAGGTAGAAAACAGGATGTCACAGAAAAAATTGAAAAGGGAATCATATTTTCTCCTTTAAAAAGGCATGAGAGCCAAATTTCACAGATGAGTTTTATTAAACTTCTATGAAAGATTTTTTTTAAGTCTGCTCCAAAGAATTAAAAAGAAGTCAAAAGTTCAAAAAGAAAAGTGGAATTTTCAGCCCTACCTGATTCAAACTTGGAGGGCAAACAGACAAAATCACATGTTGTATTAATTTTCCATTGCTGTTGTAACAAATTGCCACAAAGTAGCTTAAAAAATACAAATTTATAAACAGTTTTAGGTCAGAAGTCCAACATGGGTCTCGCTGGGCTAAAATCAAGGTGTGCCATTCCTTTGTGGAGGCTCTAGGGAAGAGTCCATTTCCTTGCCCTTTCCAGCTAGAGACAACCTGTGTTCCTTGGCTCACAGATCTCTTCTTCCATCTTTAGGACCAAATCAAATCCTCACAAGAATTTTGAACTGCCCTCTACCATCACTTCTCTCTCTTCTTCTAACTGCAGCTGGAAAAGGCTTTCCTCCTTTTAAGAACTCATGATTAGATTGGGCCAATGAGAATAATCCAGAAAAATCACCATATCAAAAGGTCTTTAACCTGAATCACATATGCAAAGTTCCATTTACCAAGTAAAGTAGTTTATTTACAGCTTCCATGCATTAGGAAATCCTTGGAAAGCCAATATTCTACTTACCTTACAAACAATTTCGTTCATAACTGTTAGTGCAAAATGAAAAAATAAAGTACTAGAAAAAAATCAAAGGTAACATATTGACACAATTCATTATAACAAAAGAAGGTTTTTTTCTTCCAAGAATGAATTCAGGCAAGTAATAATATAAGCCACTATAACCACCAATTAAAGAGAAAAAATACACGATCATCTGCATGCTAAGAAAAGCATTAAATCCAACACCCATTCATAAATAAACTCTTAAGTTTAATAGAAAAAAGTCTCAACATGACAAAAAAAATCTACCAAAAAACCTATAGAAACACTCATAACTAATGAACACTAGAAGTCTTTCATTAGGGCAAAAAGAAAAACAATGGTGCCCAATTGCACCATGACTATTCAATGTACAAACGGGCTTAATTTAGTAAAATGAGATAAATAAATGAGGTATATACTGGAAGGGAAGAATTAAGCTCATTATTTATAGGTGATACCATTGACTAGAAAGTATAAATGACAAACTATTAGAATAGGAAAGCTTAATACATTGGCTTTCCTATAAATCATCAAAAACCAATTAGCAAATATAATGAAAAATAAACTCCATGCATGGTTGCAAAAATAAAAACAAAGAAAAATATTTAGCAATAAACCAAATATAAAAAAGCATTGAGATCTGTTAAAAAGAAAATACTACAATTTACCAAAGAACACAGTATTGAATAGCTTCAGACATGACTGGTTCCTAATGGGAAGACTAAATGTCAGAGACACCAAGTCTGATATACCAAGATTTGGAAAATGTCAAATCTCCCCAAAATTAATCAATAAACCATTGCAATCTCAATCAAAATCCAAATAAGATTTTTGTATCAACTTAATAAGTTGATTAAAATTTCATAAGAGAAAATGGGCAAGAAAAAACAAAAACTTTTTGAAAAATAAACAGGATATTGATATAAAAACATACAAGCTTATAATACTATAAATAATAAGGTATAAGTGAAAAAAATGAATAGAACGGAGTAAAAAGTCCAAAAACTTTCCAATATACATACAGTTATTAAGGAAAAATGTGACATTTCAAATCAGTAGAGAAACAATGAACAATT